TTATTATACCAAGGAACACCGCAGCAATATATCTACAATATCGTTCGCACAACTTTGGACACTGGATTATTTCTAGAATAATATTTTATAATCATTTATAGTATTGCAGTTGAATCAAATCGATTATGCAACGATTATGATTAGATTGGATCGGGTATACTATTATAACACAATCGGAGGCATGAACAATAGCAAAATAATACTAATGTGTCTGCTCGCATAGATTATTATTACTGTTACCCAGGAAATGACGATCGGGGGGCTGGTGGGGAGAGTGATGTTAAAAATTCATATAAGGAACATATTTATCACGAGCTCTATGATGATTCAAGCTAAGAGTATACTGGAATGTGAACAAGAGGGGGTATCGACCCATCGCCACCCTCCACCCTGGATTTCTCACTACTGTCTCCAGGGATTGTTATCGATGTTCTTCAGGAGCTATTCGTTTGACTAAAATGTGTACCTATATTCTTTTTCGGAAACCGATTTTTCGGTCAGTACGAAATATGAATTTTTTTTTTTTTTCGATTTCTGACAGTTTTAATTTCGTAAATATAAAAATTGCTAACAACAAAAATAACGATACGTTGGTTTTATTTTTGTCGATTTCTGAGTTACCTCGGCTACAGCTGGAGACGCGGTCAAACCTCTTCAGTTTACCGAATTCCGCTCAAAACCGTTGTTCGATTATATCGATTTCACTGTCAGTATATTGATTAAATTGTGTAACCGAAATTGCCCGCCTGCAACAGTGGCCTACCCACGTCGCGAACTATCTGGTACGTCCGGGTTTTGGTTTTTTTTACTATTTTACCCACTAATAACGCGACCTATCATATACATATCTATTATCATTACTTATTATTGTTTTTAAATATATTATGCAAGCAGCGTATCCGGGTTTAATTGGAGCGCATTTTGATTTATGATAATGCGTGTACACATACCTCCTGTATACAATAATAATAATAATAATAATAATATATTATACCCGGGTACCCAAGAGTACACAACTGGTTGCTTAAAACAGACCGTTCAATTGAGAGTCAGAGTATATATGTATACATATACGTACCACCTCTGTTAATACAGCTATTCAAACAACTACCTATATATATGCAGAATAGGTTCTTCGATAAGTTCTATTATGACATGCAGGGGTTAAATGTTGATTTAAATAATGATTTATCACTTAAACTACATGTAATAGTCTAAAACAATACTGGTGGAAACCCGTGCGAATATACCGAGTAAAAACGTAAGGGGAAAAAAAAACGCCAATAGTACTGTTAATACTCATTCATAGGGTGTTCTTCAATTATTATTTTATTTGATATTTCTGACAGTGACGCAGTGCAACGGCCGGAAACAGTACGGATGTGTTTTTAATCGAAAACTCACGGATGTCGCGAATATTTTTGCCCGTGATATTGTGGATCGTCCGTAAAACGTTTAAGACGAAAAAATTCCGTACCTAGGACGAATAGAATATTTTCAACGGAATAAATCCGACGGTGGAAACCTCGTTAAATTTAAATTACGCAAAATTTTTATGGCACGACAAAAATACTCTACGCACCTATTATTATATTTGTAAATCCGACGGAATTCGTCGTTCAGGACGGGGATCTAAGTCCGTAGTTGTTTTTTTAACGATAGTATATGGGTAAAGATTTTTCTTTCGGGGGGGAGAAGGAGTGGCAGGAGAGAGGTTGGAAAGCACCTTTCAACCCAGCCCTACGTTTTCGCGTCTGATTTCACGAGACACAATATATTACCTAGAAAATTAATCAGTCTATAATACACCTGGAGGCGAGTATATACATTGCCAATGAATCATTTCCAGAAACGGTATAATAATAATATATGTGTATTTTCCTAACCATATATTATTATATTATTCGCGTGTTTCGAAATTCCAACACTTTAGATTTTCTCGCTTGGATTGTTCTATACAATCATATTTCTGTACAGCAGAACACACTTTTCATTATCCAATCAAGTTTCCGCGGGGCATTAATATCTTGACAATACTCTGTAATTGAGTCTATATACTAGATCATTAGAATGGGATGTAACTTTCCCGGGGCCGGATTAGTGCCGCTCCGTAGCGATATATAATATTTATGTCACTCCTCAACCCCCCCCCCCCATACACCCCTCTCCGTTATCCGCCCTGCATTATTCCTTAGGCAACAAAGGATTTTAAGAAAATATCTACACAGTTTCTTTTTTTTTTTTTTATTTAGCGAAATATCTATTACTATTATTATCATTAATTTTTTTTATATACACCTTTTAGCCGCCATGGACAGCGTTCGCGAAACGATGAAAATATCAAGATTCTACCAAAGTTTTTTGTTTCGCTACTGGAGCTCACCTTCGGAAATATCAAAACACAATGCATTATTGTATTTTGCATTTTGTTCGCATACCTTGTAATCAAATATAGTAAATAAATAATAGTAATATTACAACGAAAAGGAGGGTAATATAGACTTGTATGAATTGATAATACAATATGGACATCGTTAGAAGTCTTCTCGGAAGTCCGTGTTCAACTTTGTATTAAATGGAAATTGAATATGTATTACTTTATGTATATCGACGCCATCTGATTTACATAAATCAACAACATAGATATACAAGTTATTTTGCCATCTCCTCTTTCTCGCTCCCTCTATATGTATAATGTGTATATATATATCTCATTAAACACGATTTTCGAAAACATTATATTCCGAAACGTGTGTGTGTGTGTGTGTGTGTGTGTGTGTGTGTGCATGTATTTCAATACTTTATTAAAAAATGTATCAATATTTCGGATTAAAAAGATATTCTAAAAATGTTTTTTAATTAAAACGTAAATATAAAAACGTGAGCAACAGAGTTCCGTCACAAAAGTCGAATTTCCAACCCTCCCCCTCCCTATCTTTTTGTATAACAGTAATATTCTTTGAATCAATAAATAACCGAATAATAGATTAATACATTAGTGCATTATAGGTGCTATAACTATACAATACAGTTAAACTACTTACAAAATAAAAAAAAAGCTGATACTGGAGTTGGGAATGGCCACTGTTATAGGTGAGAATTTGGGAAGGTGGGATACATAAGGTTATTTAATTTATATCTGCAAGCAACGATAAATCATTGCTTGATGCACGACGATTCCGAGCGCAGTTCGGTAATACATAATTTGAAGTGCTGTAATTTTTTATTGCGATTTTCATTTAAATTTAATTTCAAAACGCTTATACTGTAAGGAATAAAATTAAAAAAGTTACAAAAAAAGTATATTGAGATTTTTCGATTAAAACATTTTTTCTGATAGAAAATGTCGTCCATGTTTTTATAAAACAATGAAATCGTACGTTTCTCTACGTTTTTTTTTTTTTTTAAATGACATCAAAACCAAAAAAAACTTCTTTATGGCACAATTTAGACAACTTGAGCTTTCAAAAAAGGCGCTACACGTAAAAACCAGAGCATATTTACTAGAAAAAACCCGTGTGTAAGAAAGTAGTAGAGGGTAAATTGAATGTATATCTGTACGCAACGATTGACCATTGCCAACGGAAATACGATTCTGAGCGGAGTTCGATTGATAGTGTTGCTTAGCCAACAATATATTTGTCATTTTATCGTAAAATAATTATGTGTGCAGCATTATATATTTTCTTTAATAACATTTTTTCAATATATATATATATATATATATATATATGTTTATATTGTATCTAGGTTTCCGTTTTTCCTACGTTTTTTTCTCGTGTTCGTATACATGCTGTAGATATAGTTGATATTGAACGGATTTTTTTTTTTTTTATGTTAACTATATCTATATAATATACAATTTTAATCGGTATTTCCTGACTGATTCATCATCGCTCGACCCGAACGAGGTAATTTTTAAAAAACCGACCACGATTGGTCGTTTATTCTATAAAATCCGTATAAAAATCAACGTTTACGTTGGTGAATAACGGGCCTAAACCTATAAAACGTTCACTGTAATATTTGTGCTAATTATAAATACATAAATCATTCGATTAAGTCTCAAACAAAAATCGATTACATTATTTACAGACTTACAGTTGAAGTGCGTTGAATAATACAATAATATTACTATCATAAATTGTTGAATGGTTCATAGTTTAATTTCTTAATGATGAAAAATTCCTAATCGGTATTAGATACCGAATTAATCACAATAATTACTGTAATAAGCAATTTACTTGACCTGTGGTTTGTGATTACATTCGACAGACTGACGATGAAACACTGGTAATATGAAAATTAAAATCGAATGTACGGAAACACGAATAACAGCAAATAATATTATGAAGACAATAAATCAATATATTTGGTATTTGGATATCTAGTTACTCCAGCTACCGAATACATGTGGACTGTGTTGTGAGACAATCGGTTCTGGGTTCCCCATAGGAGTGGCTTGGGCATTCGAAATCGATATGATTGATGGTCCGGTTCTCTGCATCGCATTCCCGCGGGTTTCCTATACCCCATTTGAGCAGTGTATGTGCGCACCTACTACGGGAAGTACACTTTCGGTCGGTGTTCGATCCAATATTACGTCTGCAAGTCATTTGGGATGATGTTTACGATTTAGAATTTGTATAAGGACTAATAAATAGTATACAAGTCCAAATATATTCCATAGAACGTGAATTCCGTATAAAACGGTTAATATTTTTTCTGAAATACCTGCATTTTAGTTTGTTGGTAAACACGTGTTATTGAATTATCAAATAATAACAGGCGTTGTCTCAGACAAAAAATAAAAACATTTGAAATTGGCCGATCGAAAACGGCCGGTCGCGTAGCAATAACGCATAAAACGGTTGTAAAACGCTGTCCGGGACGACCGACACGCGCAGGAAAAACAAATATAATTATTATCGATTAATTGATTCGCGAAAAGCGCTTTTCCGAATTGGGGGAGAAAAAAAAAGCGGAGAAAACCCAGAACCATGCGGGACAAAGAGGACGACGGGTGCGAAAAGGTCGTGAACGAGTGCGGCGAACCGCGTGCCAGGATTTACGTGCAGCCGGAAAAACAGCGGATGAAACGACCGACGACCATGCTGGACAAGAGAACCGAAGCCTTGGAAAATAATTCCATTTACAGGTAAGTCGAAATGTGTAATATCACTCATGAGTACCCTCACGTCGCATTCGGCCGGGTAAAACGAATCGGTATGACGACGTAGCCGTTTCTTTATGGGTTTAGTTCCTACATAAATCATATATAAAAATCGATAGCCTACTATACTATTATTATCGACCTATCGGCTCGTTTGTTACCTTCGGTGACGTAATTACGCGGTCGAGGAAACTGGGTGTCATATTCCCCCCAGGCCCCGGGCCTCTTTTATTTAAAACTACCGAACACATTTATGCAATAATTATACTGTTATTATTTAATACTAGCTGTCCGGCCCGTCGTTGCCCGTGCCAATATTTTACTATTTTCTTTTACCCATATTACTTTTGGTATTGAATGAAAATGAATAGGTGGAAGATGTGTAGTTTATCATGATTAGAGACCGGATTTATGTGTTCTTAAAATGCACAAAAATGCACTTGGAAACATCAAAAAGTCTCGAACAAAATCACTTAAAAAATGTACAAAAACGCGTTAGGCAATTAAATTTAATAAGTTAGTGTTATTATTGGGGGGACTTATAAACTCCTCTATAATTTTCGCTTTTTCAAATGTTTGTAAATCCATTTTTTCAGAGATTTGTTGATGTTTAAAGCGCCTCTTTGTGGATTATAAGATTATATTCTCTAGAGTATATTGTTCCAGCCTCTAGTCATTATCTATATGCATTATGTATAAAAATGAATCAATATTTTGCCGATGACGCACTGACGCCATAATTTGAATAACATCAAAATTTCCAACTTGTCTGGGGAAAAAAAAAATCCCCGCGAGTTGCGTACGTAAATATATAATTTGCGTATGCAAATATGTAAGTTGCGGTGAATTAACTGCGATAAATAAACACTTCTCAAAAAATTCACTCAACAAACTCAAAACTGGATAAATATTTAGATGTAATAGACTGTTTACTAAGGAATCAATAAATTAATTTTTCCATAGATACCGCCATACCAGTACACGGGTTTCATTTTTTGTCAACCGTGTTACCACGGAAACCCATAAATCAACAAAAATAATTAAATTTCTGAACTAAAACCACCTATAACCAGAATTTTAGGGGATGGTATTCAATAGCGGATGAATTTCAATAGCTATAAACCTTCTCCGAACATTGCGGAACGCATGCCCGGTTTATGTTTAATAACTATTTTGTACACTGCAAATATATTCAATTGTTAGTTATTATAATTATTATTTAGTTACATTAGAGATTAGGAATTGAAAAACACGCGAATGTCTTCCGGAATTGAACCGAACAAATACCGGTATTTCGGATATCGAGATTTTTTTTTTGTATTTTTGTTTTTAACAAATTCTAAATCCTAAAATAAACCACAATATCGTTCATAAAATTCTAAATTATTAAAAAGGCTATTGAACGTATCAATTATCTATTCAAGATTAAAAACGTGTTATTTTTTTCATAAATCGTTAGACTTTCGTAACTTTTGAAGTTTAAAAATTAATATTGGTTTTTTTCGGCACAAGGGCCCCTGCACAGTTTAAGATGGCTCTGGAGAAAGGCGTTTGTATGATAAAAACTAAATTGTTTAGAAGGGGTTGGTAATAGGCAAAATGTACAAACATTTTGTTCTCCCGCCCCACAAACATGGTCAAATTACGCCACTGGTTACTTGATTAATGGAAGTACCGAACAGCTGCTTCGCGTTTATATCCAAAAGCGTTTTAAACATTTTAAATATCAAGTGGTTCAAATTATTTTAACGCTGAAATTTTCTCGGGGCATTTTCTTTTCGCAGTCACCAACAATTTCATCTTCCAAAATGACTTTTTTTTTTATTTTACATATTTACCAAAGTTGATCCGTTCGGCCTGTGTTCAGTTATTTCAGTTCACCTTACATTTTGTCTTTAGCCGTTTGTGCAGGGTTGAAAAAATGCGCTGCAAATAAGTGCGATAAAAGTAATTTCGGTACACCGGGCTTAATATTATCCGAACAGCATAGGGTTAATTGATACTTATCAATTCCCGTTTCTGGTTTACTCGCAGTGTCGTTTCGTCCACCGACCGCCAATTGAGTCTGCCAAATTATGAAAAATTTAACGTTTGGCGGAACTAATGCCTTTCGCGGGAGATTAACGTTTGATAACGCACGATAAGTCGATTTTGGGTGACTCCCTAGACGCGTACTTAATTTTTTTTAACGTTATTTTTTTCCCGTCTGTCAGCGACCGTTCCGGTCATCGGCTTTCCCGCAAAGAACAATTATTATTATTATTATTATTATTGTAATTAATTACGAAATTAAGTACATAGTCACAATGCGATGCGATTTTCACCGATTGAACTCGGCCGCTCGGGATAGGTTTTGGTTCGGATTGTTAAAAAAAAAAAAAAAACCCGCTTTACGCGCAGGCAATCGTTCAAACCGCCGGAGGATCCGCGCAAGAGGACGGCCGTGGAGCCGGGACAACACTTTTGGCCGATGGCACGGGACGGCGAGGGGATCGCCACCGTGACGGTACAGCGGGCGAGTTTCCCGGAGTGGCCGTGCGACCAGCGGCCGCCGCCCGCGATCCAGAGCGACCACGAGATCGGCAACTGCGAGCAGCCAATGCAGGCGGTCACGTCGCAGCGACACGATTACGTGAAGAAAAGAGTGCCGTTGCCCGTGCGGTACCGGGCCTCCGACCCGGCCATCGACCTACAGGGCGGCTGCGGCACCGGCGACGGCGGGGGCGCCCGGTGCCAGATGGCCAGCGTGACCACCACGGCGGACACTTTCGGCGCGACGGACACCGTGCGCCCGCAGGAGTCGGCGCGGCCGGCCACCGCGGCCCACTGGACGGCCCGCGACGAACGCATGGCCGCCGTCACGGAGACCAGCGCCAGTTACGTGCAGTGGGACCCGCTGACGTTGTACAGGTCGGCCGAATGCCTGCCGTATTGCCGGCCCGACGAACCCATCGACGATTGCACCGTGTACAAGCGGAGTTACAAGCCGCCCGGCGACTTCCGCGACCCGTTGCCCGGCGAACTGCTGTCGGTCGGCCGGTTCGGCTCCAGCGCCCCCCCCGAGAGCCACCCGGTTTACCCGAAAGCGCACGACTACAACTCGTAAATTTTATGACGACGGTTTTAAATACATTTAAACGCATAACGGTTTTTACTGGTGCCTTTTTATCTGATTGTCTTGATTTTTTACCGTCGAAACCGTCGGTAAAAGTCCCCAAAGTGAAATTGACGGACATATTTCGCACGACGGGCGGGCCCCGGTTGAATAGGCGGCTCGTTGGGAACGTAGGGTTCAATAGTGGTGACGATTAATCGTTGTTGACGAAAAACGATTCTGAGCGGTAAGGCGGTTTTATATTTACGATTGTAGTCGATTTTAACCGACTGGATATTTGATCGAAAAAATATTATTTCATTGTTAAAATGATTATTTGATAACGACATTTCATTTATTGAGAAAAAAAATGCAAAAAACGGAATCTTATAACTGCCATATTCGGGTATTGAACCCGAGACCTGCCTAATCTAATCTGACGCCCTATCCACTTTACTACCTAATACTTTACTACCTTTACTACTAACCTACCTAATTGACACTGGATAGTGGACACTGGTGGTGGCCCCCTCGCCTCGTTATTGGTTTATCGGTTATTTCGGTGTATTTTACCGTTCAACAGAATGTGATTAACTTATATAAAAATAATAAGTGACCCCTAACAAAAAAAAGAAAAAAAAAAAAGAAATGTGGTTACGGTAGTGCCCGTTAGACATTTTATGTTGCCTAACATCTTGTTGCGATGTATGTGTTGTATTTCATCACATTTTTTAACGCGTGACAATTATTTAACGGTTACGTATAACGTATTGTTAACGTATTGTCAACGTGGATCACGTTGACGAAACTTTTGTTGCTTTGGTCGATAAGGAGATGATTATGTTTTGAGAAGAAGAAGGCCGTTCGGAATATTGACAGAGGCGACAAATTTAATCTAACCAACATAGGGACACCGAATCGTTAAATCCGCTCCCCCCCCGCGCGCCATATTATTAGAGAACCATGTAACCATCTACATGCCGTTAGCTGTTACCAGTTGAGCGTTCACTTTTTACAAGGAATATAACAACTACAATTACTCACGCGGTCACTCCGTCGTTCCATGACGGCGCGTGTATGTGTACATATGTATCGCTGTATACACCCGGATGTTCGAATTTACGTTAATTTACATTATTTGCGTGTCCTAAAAACGTCCCGTCAAAACGTGCGTGCGACATCATCAGGTACCGCGCACAAAACATGAACAAAGAATCTCAACAGTCTCAGATAACAATAGTTCAAGGAAATGAACCTAACCAACTAATAAATATTCTTATATTTCTATTATAAAACATATATAGAAAATACATCTGTCTATTAACATTATAAAATGCGTTATAACATCAATAACTTTTGAATAACATGTCTCGTTCTTCTTGTCGTGTATATGGTTATACCACAAAACTTGACTGTCGGTAAATACCTTAAATTTTAGTTTTTATTGAGACTATTTGATTAAAATTTAATAAAATGTTTAAATTGTGTGTAATAATTGTATTTATTAAAAATATATGCATTTAAAATAGGACCGTTACTCTCAGACCAGTTATTATTATTATGCGGGATGTAACGAAATTAAAAAGATGAAGATGAACCGAACTTAACCTTTATTGCGTTCACTTGTAGATAATATAAATAATGATCTACCGACAGCAAGTTGTATTAGAAACGTTTTTGTTTATTCTGTACATTTTCCTGTGGATTCTATTGAAACAATGAAAAGCATTAATGACAAATTGACTGATCAATATTTTAAGAGCCAATTGGTAAGACGGTTTATAATTAATGTGAATCGATACATAAAAGGTTTTTTTTTTTTTAATTTTTAGACGGCCGAGCTTTTGAAGTTAGATGGTAGCACGTGGAAAATCTCGACTTATAAAATATTAAGATTTTTAACGTAATACTGATAAACGTGCAAATAGTATTTCATACAAGGGAACGAGAAAAAAAGCTGCATTTGCTGAACTACCAGCTCCACGTAGAATTGTTTTTAGTAAATAACTGTAATACTGTTCGAGACATATTTTCTTCAAAGCCTTTCATTTTTTATATGTTAATCAATTTTTATTCTGTAGAACAATAAAAATTTGAACGGTTGATTGTATATATAAAATATATATATTTCCCTCTGTTATTCGTGTGAAATGTATTATTCTTAATCTATGTATATCTCGTAAATATATATTTCCTATGTACCGATTGATGCAATGATAAACACTGGGAACTAATTTGAAATTTGTATGAAGTTAGATAGTTGGTTAGTTTTTCATTAGATCAAGGTTTTCAATATTATGCCCTTGAAATTTACAGTGAATTTACAGCATACGTCTAATCAACTTGCAACATAAAAAATTTGCATTCAGTATTTGTATTCAATTTTTTTCATTGTTATAAATTAAAGTGAATTAATAGTTAATTATCTATATAGATAATAACATAAATTCCAATAATTTAAATAAATAATATTATTCTTTAAAATTAAAAACCACGTTTTAGCGCAAATTATTTATATATTTGTGGAGGTAAATTTGGTAATAGATAAACTACATAAATAACATGAATTGTGTGTATTATCAAATGGTCATATTATGAAGTAAATGCGACTTGCCACTAATTGTGGGAAAGATTTGTTCTTCAGTTATTGTTTATTAGGTATATTATTATTTTAGATGTCATTACGCATCGTTTTGATGGTATTAATGCAGCGGAAATAACCAATGCGAGACTATTGGGCCGATTGGAAGTTGATTTAGACATGTTTAGGCCGTATCAAACTAGTGGACTAATTATTAAACTAATAAAGTAAATAAATAAACGAACCAATGCGTCGCCCGGAGTATTGCGATAGGTGAGTACGACCGGTTTCGAATTAAAAATTCTTCATCGAGTATGTGTCACAGTCATGACTTTTTATTTTTATATTTATTTAATTTTTTTATTCACGATTGAATACCATAATTAAAATTTTGTTTTTACTTTATTATTTTATTATTAAATATACCAATGTTAAAAATAAAATTGTTATTGTAAACGCGTAATTAAATTTAAATGAATATTTTAATTAAAATATATTTCTATTACATTTTTAAAAGTGTATAGAGTAAACACCAATTAACATTATTTTTAATAAACTGATATTAATTTGATATTTTTAATTTTTTATCATTTGATCTATTTAACAAATGATCAATATTATTTGTCAATCTTCGGAATGTACTTAGTATATACCAATACCGTGTCTCATATCTTCATGGGTCCTTTAAGGCTAAATAAAATACACGTTTGTCCCCTAAAAACGAAAATCAAATGAATATTTTTTTTAATAGCCCGTGTAGAAAATGGATTGCGTTGGAATACAAATGGTATAATATCTATCATTTGAATCCAATCGTCCGGATAGCTATAATGTGACTATAACAATAAAGATATCGTTTCTCCGTCATTGTAATTGCTGGATAGACCAACTTGTTTTCATTTCAGCCGCGTCGCTAAGGTAATCCGTAACAACGAATAATTCAATAATATCTAAAAATCTAATCGAAATACTACTAAAATCGGGATTAAAAAATTGGAGGGTGTGGGAGGGGTAAGGGGGGGGGATAGGAAGTTGCAACGAAAATAGCATTAAAATCGATCGAGCGGTTTCGTAGGAGTGCGACCCGAGATTTGTATATAGTAAAGGAGATTTATACCTGTATCGTTCCATACCAATACTATGACACAATAATGTGTTGGTTTAATGTTAATCCAGACGGATGGGTAATAACCTATTAATAAATTGTATTATTGTATAAATATTACTGGGTATTACTGGATCCGGTATGATTTATCTTATTTGGACCCTATCGGAATCGACAGCTGGAACCGGAACTTTAATACCAGAAAACTCTATCAATATTAGGTGTATTTATAACCAGTCAACCGACATCTATTTTAACCGAAAATTGTTACATTTATTCATTTGACAAATTGAATTACCGTTGTTGGTCTTAAAAATTGATTTTCAGTTTAGTTTAAGATTCTGAGCGGAGCGAAGAAGCATATGGTTTTACACAGAACTTTTCTACCAGATGACTTACTCCGATTTTTACGTGTTACACATTTTCGGTAAGTGAATCGGTGTGAGGAGGTACTTTAAGGAAGTCATTTTTTCGATTTTCTCAAGAGTTTTCTCATAAAATGCGAAAAACCAAAAAAAAAAAACGGGAAAATGTATGAAATTTATTTGTGTAATATTACGATTTTTTTTTTCTGCGGACAATTTTTCTGCCAGCAATTCTACTCCAACTTATAATGATAGCAATTTTTCTAAAAGGAAATCCGAGAGATGTAATTTTTCAATTTTCTCAATAAATGTGAAGAACCGGTAAAAAAGTGGGAAAATCGGTACAACATTAAAACAAATATTAAAAAGGAAATATATAAGCCTTTTTAATTATTTTACTAATTATGACAAAGCATCACTATCAGTTGTACTCAGCTCAATATCGATTTTTCCTAAGCAATAGTTTATCGTTGCTTACATTAAATTACCTATAACAGTGGCAGTACCCGTCCCCATAATCCTTTTAAGTTCTTTTTTTTTGACAGCTGTATCCAAATAGACAAATTGATGCGGCAGGTTCTATTTGTCTCCGAATTTGTATTCATAAATTATGTGAAAAACTAGTAAAATCATAATGACTATAAATAGCTCAATAATTGCTTGAATGTTTTAAAAATTGTCTAGAAAATTAAAATATAATGTCCAAATTTTTCCAAGTTTTGTCCAAATGTTTAAACTTTACGAATATTTTTAATTGAATTACAACAAAAGATAAACGAAATTGAAAATGATAAAAGCGTTCTTTCTATGAATTTTTTTTTTTGGTTTTTCTCGATTAAACTAAATGGAAAATCAAAAAAAAACGACTTTCTTGCTCACCAATTAGATTAAAATGTACAATGACTCCTGTCTTTTTTTTGTTGGAGCAATTAATATTGCTAATAATATTTCTACTTTAATA